GTGTGTGTGTGTGTGTGTGTGTGTGTGTGTGTGTGTGTGTGTGTGCAGACTCTTTTTAACTGAGTGTGTTAGCTTTTATCAATGATCCAATCAGTCTGCCCTTTGACCCCAATGGCTGCTTAGTTCCGTCACACCTCTGCAAGAGCCACAGTGCATGTCTAGTTTTGTGTTACTTAGGGTTTATGAATGTATTGGGTTGTGAACTCTACACAGTATTGATAACTTACTATGGTAATGGAGTCCYGAAATGCTGTTTGACTTTTTTTAAAGGCATGTACTTTGTTGAATCTTTGACACAACCAGTGTTTGTTCATTTTTTTTATATGTTTGCTGTAATTTACTTTATGATTATGGCCAACAGTTAAAACAACTAATGTTTGACATTTCATTTTATATGTACACTTATTTGTTTTGGTTTGTGGTCATATGCTCTGCATCAACAATTATTTCAAATGCCAGCTTTTTTTTCATTACATGTGTTATTTGCACCACTTTTTTATGAAATAATATATGCAGCTGCAGGTCTGCCAAGCCCTGGTAATAGGTTAATCTACCTAGAGGAGTGTACATTACCATATCCAATAAAGATAGAATATGTAAAACCAAAGGTTCTTCTCTACTTTGTTCAAAACAGCAACTGTGCAGTAAAGACAGTTTTTAGAGGCTTTTTCATTATAGATAATTGTAAGACAATATAAAACAATGCTTTTTGAGGGAATGTTTTGTTGTGTATTTGTTTTAATTTACTAAATTAAAACTRTGATCTTTTACATTTTAGATATATTATTTTTGTTCATACATTTGGCTTTTCCTTTCCTAACAAATTTGCCTAAGACGTAAAAAAAAAATGTTGAAAACAGAAAATAAAATTACAAAATTGAATGTTTTTTTTAAATATTTCATAAATTCTTACTGTATTTTTGCTACTTACACTTCCTGACAATTCAGAGTATCATGTTGTTCAATGTAACTAGACTCTAAATGTGTCTCCTTTACCAGACCTACAAACCGAATGATTGGTTATGAAATGTTATGGGGGAAATGCTGAAGATAGAGTTCAGTCAGTGACTCATGCATTTATGTAACTCAGTCTCAGTACAGTACTGCTCATAAAAAAAACCAAAGTATGCATTGATTGATGTTCCTTTTTTATATTTAAAACATCATAATGTCCAAAAGAAGAAAGAAAGAGGAAAGAAAGCCTTAAATGTTTACTCTTCCCTAATTTATAAGAATAAATGACATTCTCTTTTCCCCCATTCATTTTGTTTTCTACAGACAAATATCAAAAAAGCTGAAGAATAAAGGATAAAATGTAACATGCATAATTTATTTGGAAACCCGTGTATGCTTTTAGATGGGTCCTTGTGTTGGTCATCAAAGCCAGTCACTAAAGGGTAGAGTGCCATCTATTGGTGCATAACCCAAATCCTCTCTCTTTTCCATAACCTCTTTTTGCTGCTCTCCCTCATCCCCACAGATGCACTGGCGCTCAGCTCCTACACACATTGACTCACCATATGCTTTTATGCATGCACACACACACACACACACACACACACACACACACACACACACNACACACACACACACACACACACACACACACACACACACACACACACACACTCAAAAAAAGAACAGCACAGTTTAAAAAGCCTACAGCAGGCTCATAAAAACATTAAAATGGCATGCAAACATTTTTTTAATAAAACATTCTACCAACAATGCAATATCAAAATACATATTTTGAACAATGATATGAAATGATTGAGGGAATAAGTGTTTTATATCAATGTTCTTCATTTTTTCTTATATACTGCATATCCGCACTTGTCAGAATGGGTGTCAAATTAAATTTCTAATTTACCTAATTTCCTTCTGGGATCGATAAAGTATTTTTGAATTGAGTTGAATTGAATCAAATAAAATTTAAGTTTCAAGAAGCATACTTGCCAGGATTAATACTTCCCATTCCCAGCAATAATAGTGACGATTTGTAGTGGAATGTTGCATGTAACTGTGAATATWGGCTGTAAAACCTTTTTTATTTTATTTTAAGAATGTATTTTGTCAGTCTAAAAGCCTGGTTCGAAAGATAGTGTGACTTTCATGAAATGCTTGTTATTTCAAATGATTTTACCTTTTTAAATAACATTATGGGTGTTCTTTGCTAATCAGGTGACAGAATAATGAAAAAAATGCATCCAAACAAGCCCGGATATAGACAGAATCAAAATTTCCCTGCATATTTTTTGTGTGGTTTTTTTTTTGTGTCCCTGCATAATTCTAATTTATTGCATTACACAAGATTTGTGTAGCTTAGTCTTGAGAAATCCTTTTTTTGCAGTTTTCATCAATATATTTGTGAACTTTTGAAGAAAGCTGCTGGTATATGTAGGAATAAAAAAGGTGGTTTATTTTCCTAACATCAGATTACTGGGACAATTACTGCAACACAAACTCACATTACTTCCCTCCTACGCAGTTACAGCAACGTGAGTGAACAAAGTTGGGCCGGTATGTGGGTGTGTCTCAGTGCTCCATCATTGAGAAGGAGCACTGTCAGCAGGCGCCATATTAACCACATTAGATTCACCTAAGTGCTATAAACAAACGGTCTGATTCCTCAGCTTTCTACACTGTTAACCCAGCAGACAAGAAAGACAAAATCAAGGACAAAATGAGGTAGGTGAGAACACAGCTACAGAAGAAAATATGAGAAAATAGAGGACTTGATAATTGAGGAGAAAACATAACAGTGAGATTCAGTACTATGCAATTATAGAGCTTGACAATTGTATGTTCAGATAAATTATAGATTAAAAAAATAATGTATGCAAGCTTTCTCATTCCTGGCACACCAAGCTCATGCTCAGAAAGAGACAAGACAGGCTAGTGCAGCCAATAACCCCGTAAAGTTGTGTCACACGTAGAAAAGGGTCCAAGGCTCACTCTCCGTCTCTCACTCTTTGGCAGAGCCATTGCCATGCTAGAAGCTATGTGTTTTGTGGACATGCCAGCTGAATCTCATTTCATTTTGTTCCATCTCTTTTTCCCCTGAAGGATGTAATGTTGTGTCATGCACAAAGATCCCCAATTCTTTTGGCTGCTCAGTGGCGATACAGT